TTTAGGCTCTTTATGATGATGCTTTCTTTTATTATTATTACATTTATTTTGCATGTACAAGTGTATTGGCTGCATGTGTATAAGTACACCTATGTTGTGCAGTACCCACAGAGGCTCGAAGAGAGTGTAAGATCCCCTGGAACTGGAGTTAGAACTGGAGTTATGGACAGTCATTAGCCGCCATGTGGGTGCTGGGAATTGAACAAGCCATTGCTCTTAACAGGTGAGCCATCCCTCCATCCCTGATAATGCTTTCTTTGTAAGAGAGAAAAACTGGACTTTAAGTAACTTCCCACCACTAATAGATTTTAAAGCTTGTGGTTATTTTTCTACCACTGTTTTAAGTTTAAAATATATAAATACAAAAGATTGTTCTATTCAAACCCAAAGAAAAAATTAACCTAAATCTCTAGGAGGCCAAATATTCCTGAGGTTGAAAAAAGGAGTCAGTCTTTCTGTGTTCATTGATACAATTTTCTCACTGAATTACATACTTTGAATATCCTATTTTTATGTGTATGAGTGTTATGCCTGTATGTATGTAAGCACACCCATGTCATGCAATGTCCATGGAGATCAGAAGAGAGCGTTGGATACACTAGAACTGGAGTTGATCACAGTTGTTAGCCATCTGCCATGTGAGTGCTGGGACCCGAACCATGTTCCTCTGCAAGAGCAGCCAGTGCTTTTAACCACTGAGCCATCTCTCTAGGCCTCAATATCTTAAGTTTAGTCTGAATTATTTTATAGAGTCATGACAAGACACTGATAGGATCAGTGAGTAACATGCCAGACTTTCCTCTCAATCACAATTCTGCCTCCTTCAGATGGGCTCAGGGGGCCAAATCCCTCTCAGTCCTAGAGTTCTCAAGGATACCCTGATAAAGACTTAGCAGGCTATCCAACTATACTCCTGAGAGTAACTGGAAGGAAAGATACAAAGCCCAGGGAAGTAAATAGAAGTTAACTATTAGGCAAATCCAAACAAAATTTCTGATTCAGCTGCAGAAAGAGAAATTCTCTTTGGTGCTTTCCAAAAATTCACTATATTACAAGAATACTAACTAGATGCCATTGTGACAACCAGATGGGAACAAAATTTGCAAGGTGCAAAACACAAGGTAAATCTATTCTCATAATCTAAAGCACACAGTTCATGTAAAATGAGATTTGCTTCTGAAAAAAATCATTTAATTACAAAAGCTATATTCTTCTAAAGAAATAACTATTACTTTATTAGCCTGCAGACATTTATTGATTCACTTACTGTTTTTCCTGAAATAGATATTTTAATGGCAATGGATAACAAGAAGCAATACATTCTAGGAACCAAACAAAGATGACTTGTTCCTGTCATGATGTAGCGGGCACAGATATTTTCCATCCCTTTATTCTTACATTTTCTTTAGTGAGTATACAATTTTCTATAGTATCATGGCACTTCATTGAATTTAAGCATTAAGCAGAGCAAGTATCTGATTTCCCACAGTCACATTTACCTGTATCCAAGTTAAGAGACATTTGGGGAATAATTTGTGGAGTAAAGAATCATAAACTGGGGATGGTGCACTTCTTTAATCCAGCACTCAGGAAGCAGAGGCAGGCAGATCTCTGTGAGGCTGAAGCCAGCCTGGTCTACGTATTGAGTTCCATGCCAGCTATGGCTGTAGGGAGAGCCTGTTTCAAAAAAGAAAGAAAGGTAAAGAAGAAATTTAACTTATGGAAATCTGGAGACCATGTAAATTTCATAACTGCAAATGAACAATCTTGAAATCAATTTTAAGATATACCAAGTTAGAATTATCTCATTTAGTAAATAAAATGCAGAATATTTTCTTTAATTTGAATTTCAGATAAGCAATAAGTTAAAAAAATTAGAAGTATGCTACAAGTATTCAATGAGAGTACACTAATGATCTCTTTGTAGTAAAAAAGATGTTTCATTATGCTGAAATTCTTCATTAAATATAATACATTGCAGCACACTAAAATTATTCATCAGTTGACATTTGAATTTATCTGGATACCTTCTGTTTTACCTACCAGAGTATGCAAAGACATTTTCTGGTGGCAATATTTTTCTCATCAGTTAGACTGTGAGTCTGTGATAGAGATGGTGACACTCATCCTTAGCAGTCCATGATACATAGTAGACACAAAGTGCAGAAGTGTGTTGAATGAGCAAATGTATGTGAACAAGAAAATATAAAACAGAAACCCAAAGTCTCTTCCCTCTATGAAAATTCTGAGTCTTGAAATACTTGGTAGTCCTCAGTTAAATAATCATTATCTCCCTCCAGAAATAGTCCTTACCCTGGTGGGTCCTGATGGCCTGATCCCTTCTCTCCGTTTCAACTTTTCACATTAAATGGTAGATCCTGAGACTGATAAAGTTCCTGGAGCTTAGGTTTATACAATATCCTCCAGGGGCATACGCAGATGATAATGAACTGAATCTATTTCACCAAGGTAAATGTCAGAAACTGGGAAACGTGATACAGCACGGCTCTGACACCCTTGCTCTTTTGATGTCTTCTGTTCTCCCACAGCTGGGCTGTTTCAGTGACCTACTTTTCAAGGACCTCAACTTCCAACACCACCATCATTCCTCAGAACTATCAGAATTATAACATGGTTCAGCTGTTTTTCCAGGTCAATTTTCTACTGTTCCTCAGTCTGGAGAACTGGTACATTCTGTTCCACATACAAACCTCAGTGCAGTAGACTGCCCTCTTCCAGTGGCTTTTGTGTCTTGGCAATTATCTTAACCATGAAACTGAATTATCAAGGACCATAGGTTCACCTCTCTTCTGAAGAAATCTTAGTTTCAACTGTGCCTTTGTCTGGTGATCCTACTTTAATAAAGACTACTGAAGTACCTTTTTAATAGGGTCAACAAAGGAGGATCTAACAGAGTGGCTGTTGTTATTGCGGGCTATTCTTCCAGGGCAGTAGAATAGCCTTAATAATTGGGATCTATTACACTACCCTACATTTCCTCTGTGTAAACTTAGCTTTTTATATTTTTTATGTTTATTTTTTTTCTAGGGCGGGGTATGCCACAGCATGTGAGTAAGAGAGAGGAGTAGAAGTGGGTTCTTACCTTCCAATGTGGGACCAGGGCATGGAACTCAGGTCAACAGTGTCGTCACCCTCTGAGCCATCTTGTAGGCCCAGATTCTTTATATAGTTGAAGTTCCTTTTGTGTTTCCCTGAGTGTTAGCATCCCGATGAAATGGCTTAGTTTTCAGGGACATGTTTCTCCACCAAAAAAATCAAGGCTTGCCATTGCATGAACTTTGCAGTCTGCTCAAGTGGATTTCATAACACTTGTGACATATGACATGTGACAAAAAACACGTGACATCTTTTTGTCCCCATTGATACTTCCCTGTTACACTTCCATACATAACTATACATCTCCCGGAACTCCAGCCCACATTTAATACACATTTCTCTGAACTTTCAGTTCATTTCTGGCGGATATACACATCTGTTGTTGCCTTAGCAAAAGTATTCAAAGTCTTCCTGTGTGGAAACTGTCAGTCCCCATTAAAATCTTACAAGATGTGTGACATTTCAAGGTCTATGCATGGGAAGAACAGGATCAAGGATCAACGTCTTAATATTGATATGTTCCTAAACAAACACTCCAATTCCAAAACCTGTAATTACATGACTCCAGTGCATTCTACATCACGATAACAAACTGCACCGTTAGCTCTGCACACTGAGCCGAGTGTTCAGAGGCTGTGGGAATTCTGTGAGAACTGGTGGTAACCGCTGAAACAGACTCCTCGGAACTCCACTTGGTATGCAACAAGCATTCTTTGAATCTTATAAAGCTACAGCGACGGCTTTGAGACAGTAACGGAACACAGCAGGAATACATGCTGTACGGATACATGCTTCAAACTGCGCAGAAGAGCACCAGGGATAATTCCAGTACTTGGTTTTCTGTGCCTTTAGATAGGACTCTTAAAAGGCTCCAAATTGGGTCTCTTAGTACAAAACGTATCGAAAGCTAAAAGATACCATGTATATGAAAATCTCAAGAATACTCAAGACTGGGTGTATTTAGGTTGTTGGGTCACACTGTCACCACTTTAAGTTGCCATCCTTTCATACGGATTTCAGCTTAATTCAGCAAACAGTTCAGGAACACCTATTGAATATTTCCCCTACTGTGTCGGGAACTGAGGGTATAGCTCTTACAGTCTCTCTGCAAATACAGACACCACCATAGAAACAAGCAATTGACGTGCCCAGCTCTGAGGCAGCACAAGGTGTGCATTATATTTCTTTTGTGTATTCTTCAATCAACTAATTAAAAACTCTTCCTGCAAGAGCACCCAGTGTAAAGAGGCACTTGGGTCCACAGCAGTGTTGCAAGTTCCCTACAGCTGTGCACAGCATGCAGTGTGATTGGGGTCCAGGGAAGGGTCATCTCGGGATGGACCTGTCACAACAAAGGCTGGAGATTAGTGGAGTTAACTGTCTTCCTTGTAATGGGGTCTGGAACTACTTCAGTTACTTGTTAATTGTCTACCCCCCAGGAGCCCTCACCCCCTTCTGATGGGACTTTCTTGGCATCTCCAGAGAGGGGAAAAATTTTTTTTTGAAAGACTTTCCCAAGGGAGAAGCTCAAAGGTCAGTCCCCCAGCTGTGCGGGACAACTGGGGAGTCCGGCCTCCTCTTGTGTCTTCCCAAGGGATGAAAAACTCTTAATGAAGAGACCCTTTTCTCCATCAAGATCCTAAACCCCAGCTGGATCCACTCACTCCAGAACTGGAGACACCTCCACCGGCACAGGGACCGGGACCAGCCGGGATCAGCCACGCCCCTCCTCCAGCCCTCGCCCCTCCGCCTGCTCCCGACCCTGGCCCAGCCGCGCGCCTGCCCCCGCCCCGGGCCCAGCCGCGCGCGCCCCTGCGTCCCCGGCCCCGCCCCAGCGCGCGCCCAGCCCCCCCCCCGAGCGCGTCTCCGCACTTTCGCGCGTGCCCAGCCCTGAGCGCGTTCCCGCATCCCCGCGCACGCCCAGCCCCAAGCGCTCAGACCTCCGCTGCCGCTGCCAGCGCAGGAGAGGACAGCGTCCCGCCCGCCGCAACCCGGCGCGTAGCCAGGGATCCATCTCCGCCGCCCGCAGCATCGTCCTCCTCTCTCCTCTTCTCTCTCTCCTCTTTCCCGTCTCTCTCTCTCTCTCTCTCTCTCTCTCTCTCTCTCTCTCTCTCTCTCTCTCTCTCTTTCTGTCGCTCGTTCACCCAGACCCTGGCTGGTCACCCTCGTCCCCAGAGTCGGCGTCCCCACCCTCTCCACCCGGACCTGCATCCCGGCGGCCGGCGAGGGGCCGCGCATCCGGCTGGAGATGCGAATCCTGCCGCGCTTCCTCACGGGCGTCCAGCTGCTCTGCGTGTGTCGCCTGGGTGAGTGACAGGACCTCGGCTGGGCTGCCGCGCGGGACCCGTCCGCAGCTGGGGAGGCACCAGGAGGGAGAAGGGAGGGTCACCCCGGATCCCAAGGTGTCACTCGCGCGGGCTGTGCTGCCGCCACCTGCCGGGGCCCCCGGAACCCGGTGGCCGCGGAGTCAGGGTGCCAGCCCGCGTGCTCCCCTTCTCCCTGTTGCACACTGTGGAAATAGCCTTGTCGTCCCACTTAAGATGAAGAATAAGGAAAATAGTACAGAGGTGACGAGGGGCTGCGACCTCCACACGCATTTATTTGTACTGAGACTTGAAGGGAAAATACACGTGTCTGACGGGAGTTAAGCGACGTACCTGGAAGCTACGGTGCACAGCACCGACCCGACTTTTCTGTGGTTCTATGCTTTCAATTTAGGCACGCTCAAGTCCAGACTTTAAAAAAAAGTTTCAATCAAAATCCCTATCTACATTCAACTCCCCACACCCCCTGACCCCCGCTCCCCCGGGCCAGAGAGGAGGGCTGCAAGTGATGGGTTGGCCTGGGATCCAGCTGGCTTTCACCGCTGGCCTTCCTCCTTAAACACAAGTGAAATGGATGTTGCTCTCTGCAATCGCCAGTTTACATAATCTGGGATGTAGTTTTAGGTTTCCAGTAGTTTCCGAGTCAGGAAAAAATAAATTTAAAAAAAAGTGAGGAAATTGAGGTTCTTTATTTTTTTTTAATTATTTTATTACAGAAAGCTGTAGTGGGTCTGTCCCCTCCCCTCCACCCTCAATTCTAAATGGGGATTTTTTTAACCAGGACAGAATGTTAAGTGTGGTTTGGAGTCCTTAATCTTTAAATTACAAAGTGCGTCTCTCCGTCTGTGAGCGTACCTGCTTAGCTCTTATCAGCCCGATCATCTGGCTTTTTACATTGTAGATTGTTCATAGTAAGAGATATATTAATCTTGAATTTTCATCCGATGGATGGCGCTGCTCAGGGCGCCATGGTCTTTGCAAGCTGAAGTCATTCCCAGGTCTGACTAATGAGAATTGTGTCGCCACTGTGGTGATGATTGCCTGTCACTGACACATTCATTGACATAACTCAAATTTCCAAAGCCTCCTGAAAGCGCTCCGGGCTGGGCTGGCTGATGCATGTGCACAGTGAGGTGAGCCTGAGACTCCCTAGGTTTGCCTGGCTCTGAAAACTTGGAGTTGTGAAGTCAGAAAGATGTTATTTAAAGTGCTTTTCAAGCACACACCTGTTGAATTTACAGTTCCATATTCTGGTTATAGATGGTTTAACAACAAAGCCAGGTTCTCTTAATACTTTAATCATTTTTAAGTAAATTTCACTGTATTAAGGAAGCAAATTACAATATTGCTTTGTACCTCATCAAGAGTATGCCTAGTGTACATTAGGAATGTTTTAATTGAGAATAATCAATTGTCATACAATTTATCTGTTTAAAGTGTACAGCTGGGTGATATTTAGTATACTCTCAAAGCCATGTGCCTTCCCTGGTATCTAACCCAGGTTGCTATAATCATCTGTCCATGCATATTACCTGTCATTTCCTATTCTCCTGATCTACTTTCTGTCTCTATAGATGTGCCTGTTCTGGAAATTTTATCTGAATGGAATCATGCAGCATGCAGCCTTTTAAGTCTGGCTTTGTTCACTTAGCATGATGTTCTCAAAGTTTACTCTTGTCATAAATGGAATAGCACCTCATTCCTTTTTATGACTAAATAGTATTCCATTGTGTGCAAATAACACATTTCAAAGTTGTTGGTTTCTATTTTCCCTCAGTAAGTCAGTATTATAGTCTGTTTAGGGTTACATAAATTTGGGCTTATTGACCATTTTAACTCTTTTTAAAATTTTTATTTATTTTTATGTTTTTATGAGTATGAGTGTTATGCCTGCATGTGTGTAAGTGCACCTTTGTCATGCAGTGCCCACAGAGAACAGAAGAGGGCCTTGGATCCCCTGGAACTGGAGTTACAGACAGTTGTTAGCCTTCATGTGGGTGCTGGGATTCGAACCTAGGTCTTCTGCAAGAATAGCTAGTGCTCTTTACTGCTAAGCCATCTCTCTAGCACCAGACATTTTAACTCCTTTAAAAACAAAATTTAAGGGAAAAAGGATTGAATTTATTGTTTGACTATTGCAAGTTTCTGTATAAACATTGAATCTAAGCCCATGAACTGGAACTAAAGTGTGTGTTGTTTTTTTGTGAGACTAAAAATGATTGTTTTTGAATCCCACATCATTTCAATAAAGTTGGCCTTTGGCATTGCTGCCAACAGGCTGACTTGGGAACACTAGCAACCTCAAGTGGGATGGACATACAGATCTTGGTGTGGTGTATTGGGGAAACTGAGGCACACTATCTACACATGAAAAACTCAGTCCTCCTGTGATTCTTTCTCCCTTCACACATATATCAGTGCTTGTAGGTGTGTTTACTCATCTTCAGTGTCCTGGGAACTGTCCAGCTACACTGTCACCCATAACAGGTACTTAGTAGAGGTCTGAGGACTGGCGGAGGGTACTATGTGGAGTGACCACTCTGATACAGTTTGAGCATTAGACTGCCATTTTAACCCTTATCCAGGAACACATCGTTCACTAAAGTATTCATTGCTTACACCTAAGAACATCTTTGTCATCAGGACAGTATTACTTTTGTGTCCCAAGTATCCTGATGGTTTGAATCAGGCAGATAAGTCCATTGGCTTTCTCATAAGGAAGCTGGACTGTGGGTCATGGAAGAGAGTGAGATACTTGAAAAACCTTTGAGGAATCATCCCCCCCCCCCCACTCATGAGACCTCAAGATCTCTGAACTGAGTTGAAGTGCTGTATGGTACTCAAATTTCATAGACATACTGTCATTAAATGTGTAATGAATCTGGTTCTAAACTACCTAGTCATGTCTTTCTGATGAAGGAGCCACATTGAAAATGCATCATACTCGGGGCTGGAGAGATGGCAGTTAAGTGCACTGACTGCTCTTGCAGAGGACCAGGCTTTGATTCCCAGCACCCACATGGCGGCTACGAACCGTCCTTAACTCCAGTTCCAGGGGAATCCAAAACCCTCTTCTGACCTCCGTGGCATTGCACAACATGGGTGCACTCACTTACATGCAGGCAATACACTCATACACATAAAATTAAAAAAAATATTTAAAAAAATGTATCATATTCTGGTTAGGTTGACCATTTTGTGAGGCTAGACCTGCAGCCAAGACTGTTTGGGCAGTACAAATTAGATTTGATAAGGCTTAAGGAAAAATAATAGAGGGCATGAAGTGAGGGGTAGGAGGTCGGGGTGGATCTGAAAGCAGAGGGGAGAGGCTTCTGAATATGATCAAAATGCAGTGTGTGAAATTCTCAAAGAATCAATAAAGAGAAAAATGAACAAACAAAACAATGCGTCATACCTAAGACCCCTGGGGGAATTGATGACTACAGGCATTATGGGTTTGGAGCCAGTGGCTTCCATCCATTGTTACTCTCAGTTAGGTCAATTTGTCCTCTTCAGAAAATCATACAACAAAGGTAAATTACTCATGTTTACCCCAAATAATAAGTATCTCTACTCATAAAATCCATTGCCTTTAATAAGCATGATCTTGAGACCAGCCTGTGCTTTGCATCTCCCTCTCTGCAAAGCATGGTGGCTCTCACCAGGGAAAATCGATCCATCGGTGAATTCATACCTGCTCTCAGGTCTGCACTAGAGAGTAAGGATATTGCTTAAATTTTTTATGTTGTGAGAATTTTGCTTCTGGCAAAAAAAAATTCAGGTTCTTCTGGGTGCACAAGCTGTTTCCCCATTCCCCATAGCTGGAGAGCTGAGTGGCGTCTGCCCTAAGAGCTGGGACTGAGTGCTACTCTGATGACATCTCAGACTGTGGCCTGGAAATGGACACCTCTGTCTGAAGGAAGGGTTTGGTGGAGAGGATGAGCTTTTTGCTTTACTGATTAATGTATTTACCTGCTGCAGTCCCTGGGAGCATCTGTCCATTTTCTCATTTCCTTTTCCCCATCTAATGTTCTGCAGATGAAGACACAGATGTAGAGAAGTCAAACAATGTGTCTGGCATCACGCTGCCTGGTCAGTCTTTGTTTCTTCTGACTACGGATTTTTTTTAAAGACAAGATCTCATGTTGCCTAGGCTGGCTTCAAGTTTGCTTTGTAGCCAAAGACAACCTTGAATTAATCTTTCTGCCGCCACCTGGCAAGACTGGTATAACAGGCAGGCACCACCAGGTCCTGCTTCTTCTGTTTTCACTTGGAATATCCATTTCCTGTTGGAATTTACTAACTTCCACTGGATGGAACTCTGCCTTTCAGTTCTGCTTGCTTTTTTAAGATGCCCTTGTGACTTTTTTGTGTGTTCCCATATTATATTTTGTTTTATTTTTAAAAATTTAAACATGTTTATTATTTTTTTAGGTAACAGTACTCCTGTGCTCAACACCATCTTGAAATTGTGACAGATGCTTATGGTCCTATAGTGATAGCAGCCTGCCCAGGCTACTCTAACAACTTACTCATTTCCATTGCTGATGTCTACTCAGACTGAGAGGTCAGCAGTGTGTAACCACTGAGTCCTGACTCTCATGCAATTCAGCCAATCTGATTCAATCCCCACACTGAAGACCTAAAAATCTCACTTTTATGACTATGATCCCAACACTTGAGAAGCTGAGGCTGGAGGATTGCTGTGAATTCAAGGTCAATTCAAGCTACATAATGAGTTCCAAGCCAACACTGTGTTCTGCAAACTAAAACCATGTCTCAAAACAATAACAAAAGCCAGAAAATAAATCAGTCCCCATAATTGAAAAACCAAAACTTTAAGATACATTTTTCCATTCACAACCTGTTGAAAGAAACTGATTTTTCCAATTATCTGTAATATGTTAACTCTCAAGTATTTTAAAATGTTTCTCACTCCACCAACAATACTAATAGTGAAAGGGGCAATTTATAGTTCTAAT